AACAATGTGATGCCAATAAATTTGAAAATTTGGATAGACAAATACCTAGAAAAGCCACAGCTCACCGAAACAGAATAAGAAATATCATTTTGAATAGTTTTACATTCATTAAAAAAAACTGAATCCACAAAAACCTCACAAAGAAAACGTCAGGTTCAGATGGATTTCACCAGTCAATTCTTCTAACACTTAGAGAATAAATAATGCCAAGCCTACAAAATTCTACAAGTGGATAGAATAAGGGAATACCAGCCAATTTCTTTACAGGACAGCATAAATTTCCTATAAAAATACAGGAACAGAAAACAAAGGAAGATTACAGGCCAACTCAGCTCATTAGCAGACACAAAAACCCTTAACACATTATGACAAAATGGATTTCCTACTTCATACCATAAACACCAACAAAAACAATTCTGAATGGATCACAACCTAAATGCGAACCGCCAAACAGAAGCTTCTAGAAGTAAACAGAAGAGATCAGCTTTATGGCTTTGGGACAGCCACATATTTTTAACAGGACATCAAAATCGCTTCCCGAAAAGTTAAAGATTGAAAAATTGGATTCTATTAAAATTAAAAACAAACATTTACCAAAATGCATTACCAAGAGGTGAGGAGGTAAGCCACATAGAGGGAGAGGACCCTCCTAATGCATCTATCTGACAAAGCAATTAGAAGGCAGATAGTATAGTTGAAAATGGACTAAGTGGGGCCGGTGCTGTGGCGTAGTGGGCTGAGCCTCCGCCTGAGGCACCGGCATCCCTTATGGGTACCAGTTCATGTCCTGGCTGCTCTGCTTCTGACCCAGCCCTCTGCTAATGGCCTGGGAAAGCAGTAAAAGATTATCATTGAATCATATGGGCCCCTGAACCCATATGGGAGACCCAGAAGAAGTTCCTGGCTCCTGGCTTCGGATTGGCCCAGCTCCAGCTGTTGGGGCCACTTGAGGAGTGAACCATTGGATGGAAGCTCGCTCTCTTTCTCTCTCTCTCTCTCTGCCCTCCTGTCTGTAACTCTGCCTCTCAAATAAATCTTTAAAAAAAAAAAAAAGGTACAAAGTTTGAATGGGCCTCACATAAAAGAAGAAATAATACTATTCCAGGAAACATTAAAATACACTCAACAAAACATGTAAAGTGAAAACCAAGCTCTATCAGTATCACATGGTGAAGATGTAGAGCAACAGAGCACTCCCACTTGGCTGGGATGAGTGTCAATCAATGCAACAGCTTTGGAGACTAAGTGGCAGTGTTTACGTGTGTGTATTCAATGACCTAGTGACCTTACACCTGAATATACATCTAGCAGAAATGCAGTTATGTGTACCAAAAGGCATGCACATATAAATGTAATTCCTAAATAGCCCCAAACTAGAAATAACTGTCGCAAACAACAGAATGTGTATGAAATTCTATTTCTATAATGAGTCACTACACAACAGTGATAGGAAATGGGTCACTGGAAGGAACTAAATGTAGCAACATGGATCCATTCCTTAAACGTGATGTTAAGCAAAGTCAGACACCAAGGAGCATATTTGAAGGGTCCATTTATATCATTCAAAAACCAGACAGAATGCCACTATGGTGAAGTCAGCAATTTACCTAAGGGAGGTGACATGAGAGAGAATTCCAGGGTTCAGGTGGCGTTCTACATCTTCTACCAGATAGTGGTTACAGACGTGTGTTCATTTCATAAAAATCAGCCAAGCAGTCTATCTTTTTGTGAAAATCAGCCAAGCAGTCTATCTTTTTGTCTGCTTAATAAGGGAACTTTCAAAACACTTAAAATATAAAAATAACGTGGAGCTATACCAAGTACCTGGACAGGAAGGCTCACTATTACAAAGACGCTTAATTTTTTCAAGCAATCTTTAAAATAACTCTAATGAAAATCCTCTTTTGTGATGTTACTTGTCAGGTTTATTCTAACATTTAGGAAAGTAAAATCATTCCAAAGGGAAGAAAAAACTGGGCTGGCGTTGTGGTATAGGAAGAGCCACCCCCTGTGACGCCAGATCCCCTTATATGTGCACCGGTTTGAGTCCTGACTGCTCTACTTCCCATCCAGCTCCCTGCTAACGCATCTGGGAAAGCAGCAGAGGATGGCCTGAGTTCTTTTTTTTTTTTAATTATTTATTTGAGAGGTAGAGTTATAGACAGAGAGAGGGAGAGATAGAGAGAGAAAGGTCTTCCTTTTCCACTGGTTCACCCCCAAAGTGGCCGCTATGGCCTGCATGCTGTGCCAATCAGAAGCCAGGAGCCAGGTGCTTCCTCCTGGTCTCCCATGCGGGTGCAGGGCTGAAGCACTTGGGCCATCCTCCACTGCACTCCTGGGCCACAGCAGAGAGCTGGACTGGAAGAGGAGCAACTGGGACAGAACCGGTGCCCCGACTGGGACTAGAACCCGGGGTGCCGGCGCCGCAGGCGGAGGATTAGCCAAGTGAGCTGCAACACCAGCCAGAAAATTTCAAAAATACTATTTGGAGAGCTTGTCCTAAAAGATATAAACATGTACCATAACACTGCAATAATTTAAACTGTAGTGACTATTAAAGAAACAGACAAAAATGCTGCTTTTGAGTATAGGAGTAGTTCAGGAAAGTTTTGTACAGGAAAGTTCTGTACAAATGCACTTGGACTGAGCACTTGGGACTGGTGGGGAAAGAAAGAATTCTTCAATAAATGGCTTAAGACAATTGGCTATTGCAATGGAAAAGCAAAAATGAAAGAAAATTTAAATTCCTATTGCATACCACACACACAAAAACATATTTCTAAATGACAATCTTTTTAAAAAATGTTTATTTATCTGAAAGAGTTACATAGAGAGAGAAGGAAAGACAGAGAGAGAGAGAGAACTCTTCCATTTGCTGGTTCACTCCCCAGTTACAATGGCCAGAGCTGTGCTGATCCAAAGCCAGGAGCCAGGAGCCAGGAGCCTCTTCCGGGTCTCCCACACGGATGCAGGGGCCCAAGGACTTGCGCCATCTTCTACTGCTTTCCCAGGCCATAGCAGAGAGGGATCAGAAATGGAGCAGCCAGGACTCGAATCGGAGCCCATATGGGGGTGCCAGCACTGCAGGTGGTGGCTTTACTGGCTATGCCACAGTGCCAGCCCCACAATGACAAATTTTTTTTTTTTAAAGTATGTTGGGCCATCATCTGCTGTTTTCTCCAGATGCATTAGTGGGAAGCTGGATCAGAATCAGAGCAGGGGCCAGTGCTTTGGCCTAGTAGGTAAATCTACCGCTTGCAGTGCCAGCAACCCATATGGGTGCTGGTTCAAGTCCCAGCTGCTCCACTTCCAATCCAGCCCTCTGCTATGGCCTGGGAAAGCAGTAGATGATGGCTCAAGTCTTTGGGCCTCTGCACCCGCATAGGAGACCATGAAGAAGTTCCTGGCTCCTGGCTTCAGATCTGTGCAGCTCCGGCCGTTGTGGCCATTTGGGGAGTGAACTAGTGGATGGAAGACTTCTCTCTCTCTGCCTCTCTGTAACTCTGCCTTTCAAATGAATGAATCAATGAATCAATGAATAAATAATTTTTTTAAAGAAAGCAGACTAGCCAGGACTCAGTTGGATGCTCTAATATGGGATGCTGGCATTCCAAGTGGCAGCTTAACCTGCTCTGCCACAATGCTGGTCCCACCATGAACTTTTTCAAGACTTCTTGTATTAGCCTTGTATTTTAGTTACATGAGAAAGAAGATTATAAATACATTAAAACAAAGCTTTTTTTAAAAAGAAAAAATTAGGATGCATGTTGTGGCAGTGGGTTAAGGCAAAGCTTGGGATGCCATATGACAGGGTCTGGTTTGAGTTTCTCCAATCCAACTGCCTGCTACAGTGCCTGGGAGGCAGCAGATGATGGCCCACGTACTTGGGTTCCTGCCAATCATGTGGGAGATATGAATGAAGGGTCTGGCTTCTGGCTTCACCTGGCCCAGCTCCCTGGTGTTGCAGGCATCTGGGGAGTGAACCAACAGATGGAAGATCTCTTTCTCTGTCATGGTTTCAAATAAATAAATAAATCTTTTTTTTTAAAAAAAGAAAGATTTTCTGATTTGTAGGTAAACACTACTACGAAAATAAAAAGTTACAACTATCTGTAATTTTAATACAATTTAAAATACTGTCATTCTATTCACATTATTCAGCTACGAGTAGACTTGGTGGATTATTCAGACATGAAAGAAATACATCAGCATTTCTGCAAAATAATCGTCTACGAGAGAGAATATTATACTTTCAGGTGTTTATTACATTTTTCATTATTAAATAATTATAGTGACACAATAAAGATGTCTGAAATTAGCCAACTTAGTCACAATTATTGTGAGTAACCATTCCTATTCTGTTCAAAGAACACGGTCGAATGGGCTAAATAGAATGAAAGACACATGGAGAGTTACATCAAAAATAGTTTCCTAAAATGAGAGGTCTACAACCTGACATCCACTTAGCTTGTTGTAAGTCTGTCTATTTAAGAAGCATCTGAAGGAACTCCTGGTAAGACAGTGAGTTCACTGTTTGACGTGGGGCTTTCTGCTCCATTAACAGAATTTTCAGGCCTGAAATTTTTCAAGATGCTTGTGATTAGCAAGCTATGGACAGATGCTTTACTAACAGGCCCAGGCTGCCCTGAGAGCTGTGGCTGAGCAGTCACAGGCACCAGTGATTCCCTCACACTGGAAGGTAAACACAATCGTCTTCAAGATTTGATTTGAGTTTTTATAAAATTGTTTGTCGTAGCTACAAAAATCAGCCAGCTTTGCGGAAAACAATTTATTAAATGAATGAAGACTGGCCATCATACTCTTAATACAGACAAAATACTGTGACCAAGGCATGCTCTCATTACAGAGACATCAATGACATTCAGTTATTTTATTGGATTGCTTTTATTTCCATAAGTTTTAGGCTGTACCAGCACATATAGAAAACAACAGAAAATTACACAAGAGGCAAACATTATACACACGACAGAATAGACTACTGAGACATAAAACTAGAATTTTATTTAGAGCACAAGTACACAAATATGAAGCCAAAACAGCGAGTTGATAAAATTGAAAACATCTTAGTGTAAAAGATCAGTGAGCAGCAAAATAAAAATGAAACCAGCAGTATTTACTCTTAATAACAAAGAGTTCTACACGTTCCCACCAACGTCACCGGCAGAGGATGACCTGGCCGAGAGCATCAGAGTCACACACTGGAACATATTAAAAGAAGCTTCTCTCCATTTTAGTTCATCTCTCTCTTTCCCAAATTATAATTGTAGCAGCTTAAAAAAAAGTCCTAAAATATGAATGGATGAAAAAGGAGTATGCGCTTTTTTCATATAAATCAGTTAAAAGGCAAGAGGCCAGAAAAGCTAAATAAAAATGACAATCTATTAAGTAAGGAGAGAAAGTAAGATGCATTCTCAAAGAATTGTACAGTACTTTTTTCATAAATTTTCTTCTAAGTGTTGGTTGCAGTTATCGTATCTCTAAACAAATGCTGGATCTTAAATTGTAGTGGAAAACTTTGTAAATGTAACTTTTTACTCCCAGTTAACTTCTAAGTGGTTAGGGTAAAAGGAACCTTAAAAACATTCGTCATCAGAAGAAATGGAAGACCTTATTGGAGTTGAATACACCTTTCGTTCTGCTGAACCACTAGAGTTCTTCATTTTTAACAGATACAGGAGTCATGCTTACATGGTGATTCTATTGAATTCAAAATGCTCCCATTCGTTCTCTCCCCAGTTTTTAGGCCTATGGGGTTGTAGTTACAGTTTCGTATTATGAAGCACAAACTTTCACTCACCCATGGGCTAACGTGGCAAATCCGTCTAACTTTAGTAGTGAAGACCTGTGATCCTGGGGGAAACTAGAAACTATAAATTAGAAACCTAATGAGTAGTATTATTTAAAAAACTATCCTAGGCATAAAGGCCTCAGGACAGACACACAAAACATACAGAAGACCCAAAGGTGGGAAACAAATCCAAGAGCAGGATTGAAACAAACTCACCCGTTGTTATCTACTAGAAATTGGTAGTATCAGGATCCATGCCCAGTCTTTGGTGGCCAAAGTATAAAAGGAATTCTGGGTACAAAGGCTCTACCTGAAAACCTGATGTAGGAATCTTTGTGACTCTGGAGGATAATGGACAAAAGCAGGATTTCATCAGATAAACATAATTGAATTTCCGTTTTATTGCTTTATCATCTCATTGAGGAGCAAATGTTTAAAGCATAGTCTGTAGAAAAGGCTCACAGTTGAAATCTGCCTTTCTTCTGCTTTAAAGCAAAGAAATGGCAGAGGCCTGAATGAATTAGTGTTCATGTTCTTAAAATTAATTGGTAATTTCCACAGCAATGTGTTCAAATACAGCACTGGCTGTCGCTATGTGTCTGACAGTCCCACAAAGAGCCTCCATGTAACTTGGGAGATTATTCCTTTATTAAAACAATCTTGTAATTATAAACCCACTGAACCGGCAGAAAGAAACCCTCTGTGCAGTGAGGAGCTTGGTGTGTCGGTCTGAGAAGGCTCTTCAGCAAGCAGCCTTCTTAACATTCTATGACCACTGACCCTCCATTTTAAGAGCATAAAGTATACTATTTCCTCCATGATGAATTTCAACAAAGCGTGCTACAGTGAATCCATTGAAAACATTTCCTCTCTCTACTTTCAGAATTTGTTTAGAATTGCTGGGCAAGATGGGAAACCTGACAGGTGCACAAGACAAACCCCCAGTAGTCAAGTGGCATGTAACTAAGTTTAGGCAGATGCTGACCATGCATCCCATTTGGGATGTTTCAATGATCCCTTATAAATAATATAAAATTACTAAGTATTCAATGCAATTCAAACAATAAGCCATGAATAACCATCAAAAACAATTCCATGTACCTCGTAGTCCTCTGATGTTACACTGTTCAGCCTAAAAATATCCAGTTCAAGGGAAACTGTGCTGCTCCATTGTCATTCTATTGGGTTTTCTGTAAGGTACTCAAATATCAAGAGGGAAGAAATGTTTTCAATTCTAGGGGAGGGAGCACTGGAAAAGTTCAGAATTCTTGCTTTCCTTCTCTAATTGCAGATACTTCGCTGATACAGCAAAGAGTTGGGAAAGCATAGAAGAAAAGCTGACTTGCCCGGAATGACATACAGAAAACAGGATATTCAAGTCTGGCACCATGTGACAACTACAATATTTCCTTCTGTAGAGGCCATTAAGGGCTGGCTCAAAATCGTAACGAAATACATACTTTCTCAAGTCGCACGTACAAATGCTGGCTGGCACAGCCTTTTAGCACAGTTTTCCAGTTTAACTACAACAAGTGATAGCAGCAATGGTTAACGGTTCCACAGAAACACCACGAACACACATACGAAAGAGCACCTTGAACAACATGCAAAATCTCAACAATGACATCACTGAAAATTACACAATGCATAGAAATTGTAATGGTTTTTGGCAAGTTTCTTTTTGTAACAAATGCTTTATAAAACAAAAGTTCTTTTGTTATAAACGCTATTTAAAAAGTTGTAATATATGGATCATAGATATAAAAGTTCAGTTAATCTGAGTAGATTAATACTAAACATGATCTGCTACTTCATCCAGTATAAATAATTATAAATTAATTTCTAGTGGAAGTATACTAAGGTTTGATTTATAAAATGTAAGAATTACAGAAAATAAACTGGCATAAAAATCATTAAAATACAGTATGCACAATTACCATTAGGATTCTATATTGCTGATACCTTCTGAATTCTACTTTCCACAAATAAATTATTCCTAAACATTTTCATAGCTCTTACAGAAATGAGTGCACAATGGTAAAAATGCTAACTCCAGTGTAATACCAAGACAGACATTAGAAGTCTAGTAAAATTCCACACTTCGTTAAGAACACAATCACATTATACTTCTTTTTCACATCCTAAAAACTGGACCTTTTTTCAACTACAATTTGGTAAAATCATTTGTGAAATAAAAATTTGTGAAATATTTTATATTTGTTTGAATTACTTTTCAGAAGAAGAGGAAACAGGAGAAATACAAATGATTTTTATTTCTAGGTCTTCCTGCTGTAAGCCTTTTTCATTAGTTCCCATTCTTTCCTTTTCCTAAATAAATGCGCTTCAGAAACATCCTATTTATGTTGATAGAAATTTGATCTTCAAACACAACTGTGGGTCCACACACTAAAAAAGGATATTGCAGACTGCATTCAAAAATCAACACTACAGATGCTAAATAGGTAGATATCCAAGCGAACATCAGAGTAAACAAAGTTACCTTTTAGTTGATAATCTGTAACTGGAATTCATACAGTTAAAAGGGTGTGGGTTGTTTCCTCTCCATGATTAAAAACTAAAGGTAAACAGGGAAGGCTGAGGGACGCTCATTAAACTAAAATGAAAACAATCACACTTAGAGATTATGCTACCAAATTTCAAAACAAGTCGCTACAAGCAGATACAACACTACCCAACTAAAAGTGAGATGTCACATTCAAATATATCCTATTTGGAAACTAGCAGCTTTCACACCTTCTTCCTAGCAGGAATTTGAGGGCTGGAAAAACAATTAAAACTCGGATAACAAGAAGAAACAGATACTCCTTTAGGGGTGGAGAGATGTTTCCTTCCCTAAACACTATCTAGGGACAGGAAGCCCCGTGCCTTGGCTCCAGCCTGGCTCTAACCCTAACAGGTGTGGCTCCCATCTGGACAAGATGCAAGCACCTGGGTCCGGAACAGCAGGGCGGACCGGAGGGGACGCCTCCACTCTCACGTTCCAGCCAGCCCTTGGGAATGATGGGGACAGAGGAATGGCAGCCCCTTTAGTCAGGGGAGTCTCACAGCAGGAAGGAGTGGGCCCGCTGTGCTCGAGGATGCGTGCTCTTTGCTGTTTCCATCTCCTTACCCCCAGCCCCTGCAAGAAGACACGGAGACCCTGGCATTCACAATCGCTGGATGAGATGACCTCTGGGGTCCCTTCTAGGCCCACACTAGGAGTGTAATCCGACAGACAGCTGTTTTACATTAATACCCTGGCCTAATTCGTGTTCTGATCAAATTAGGTCTCTGGCCTAATTACTGCTCTGTCTGATCCTAATTCAACAGTCATGGTTTACATAAAAATGCAATTGAAATGAATTAAAATGTTATCTTTTTAAAAATAATGCAATCTTAATATTAAGTCGGGTCTTCTGCTCAGCTGTGGCAGGCTCAGTTGAACAACTTATTAACAGGCTGAACCATGAGAAATCTTGCATATTTCTCCTTCCTCTGAGAAAAGTGAAAGCAGAGTTGTTGGTAATTTTCCAATAGCTCTCATTCTCCCCTGTTGTTCTATCACAAGGAATGCACCCGTTACCAACAGGATAACCTCTGCAATGTACTTCTTCATCCCAGTTCTAGTCAATGGCAGGCATCTCTGAAATTATCCTAGCTTCATCACTGTCTCCTATCATCTCAGCCAGAGACAAGCACAGGAGAAAAGCAATGTCTGGACATCAGGCATTAAGGGAGAAAACAAAACAAAACAACTGAGGAAGACTTTGGCAATGCTCCTGCTGAACCACATTACATAACAGACACGCACAGACAGATCTTGCATAAAGGAACTCTATTTAAGAAATTATTAAGCAGATTGACAGAGTCAACCAATTCTTTATAACTACTTTTAAATGAATAAACTTGTCTTACAAAACCTTAACTGCAATTTATTCTTGTACGCTCCTCTCAATATCCCCCATAGCTTGAAAATTTATTTGCTTTATTATGTGAGAGTTTTTACTTATAGATGCTTAGTATTACAACTTTATTTTGACTAGAGATATAAGGATCAAAACACACCAATCAGAAGATTAACTAGTGTTATCTCCCATCAAACTTTTGGGGATAGTCAAACTAGAAAAAAAATCTAACAGTTTCACAGTCTATCGCTAATTCTGGGAATCGTCAGGACAATATTTTAACCCCCAAAGCTTTCTGCGGCAGCACTCATAACTCACTAAAAAACAAAACCAGGCAGGCTTGAGCAGGGACGCCAGCATTCCACATCGGAGGGCCCAGTCTGAGTCCCAGCATCACTGCTTCTCACCCAGGTTGCTGCTGATGCACCCTGGGAAGCAGCAGATGATGGCTCAAGTGCTTGGACCCCTGCCACCCCCATGGGAGAACCCAGATGAGTTCCTGGCTCCTGGCTTCAGCCTGGCCCAGCCTTGGTTATTGTAGGCATCTGGGCAATTGAACCAGTGGATGGAAGATCTGTTTGTATGCTCTGCTTTTCAAGTCAATGAGAATAAACTTTTTTTAAAAAGTAAAAACAGGCCAGCACCGCGGCTCAACAGGCTAATCCTCCGCCTTGCGGCGCCGCAACACCGGGTTCTAGTCCCGGTCGGGGCGCCGGATTCTGTCCCGGTTGCCCCTCTTGCAGGCCAGCTCTCTGCTGTGGCCTGGGAGTGCAGTGGAGGATGGCCCAAGTGCTTGGGCCCTGCACCCCATGGGAGACCAGGAGAAGCACCTGGCTCCTGCCATCGGATCAGCGCGGTGCGCCGGCCACGGCAGCCATTGGAGGGTGAACCAATGGCCAAAGGAAGACCTTTCTCTCTCTCTCTCACTGTCCACTCTGTCAAAAAAAAAAAAAAAAAAAGTAAAAACAATACGATCTGCCATAGAACCGCCCCTTTCTCTGGGTGAATGATGCAGAACTCTCTGGAGATGAGTTTTTTGCTTTCTTGGAGGTAAAAACAGATGACAATCATTTAAATATGTCATGCCTCACCTCTGTGACAAAGTGCTCTCTAAAGAGTGATAAAAGCTTCTGCTCCCTACTCCTCACCACCTCCAAAGACGCACAGCAACAGGCTGTAGATAGTGTGCTAACCAACAGGCGTGGGGCTGGCCCTGAGAGCAATCACTTGTAACTCGATGCTGCAGAGGGTCTACTATCCAAGCACAGCAAGCAGCTTATCTAACAAGCCACTAGGGCAGAAAGGACAGTGCATAATGGGACCTGGATCTACAAGTAGTTTCAATGCTTTACTGTTCTAATGCATTTTTATGTCTAATGGTGATTACTGCCTTTTTATTATTTGAGAAATTTTTATTTTCATTTGTTTGAAAGAGACAGAGATGAAGACAGAGACCTTCCATCTGCTGGTTTATTCCTCAGATGCCTACAACAGCTGGGGGTGGGCCAGGCTAACCCCAGGAGCTGGTAACTCAATTTGGGTCACCCAGGTAGGTAGCAGAAGCCCAACTCCTTGAGCCATCACCTGCTCTCTCTCATGGTGTGCATTAGCAGGAAGCTGGAGGTGGGATCCAAACCCAGACACACTGATATGAGATGGAGTGTCCCAAGCAGAGCCGTAACTGCTGCATCAAATGCCCATGCCACTGATGTTCTACTGTATTAATGGTGACATGGGTAACCCATTTGTCTTCTCTGGATTTCTTTATTCACAAAAGAGAAATGATACTTACCTAGCAGAACTACCGTGAGCATTAAGTGTAAAAACTTCAAGAAGCATTTAGTGCAATGGCACACTGTAAGAATGCAGTACACGAGTCACTGGTGACACATGTACACTCTTACACAGATGCACAGCTATGTGAACACAGTGGATGAATTCTTTGAGAGCGGGGACTATTTTATGGATCTTTGTGCCTCTCTCAGTGTCTAGACCTTTGCTGCTCAATAAATATTTGCTGATGTGACTATAAATTTTCATTACAATGAAGTCATTGATTTCATGCCATCTGGAAACTGGGCTATAGGACACAGAGAAGTCAATGCTATGAAAGGTTCAACTAACAGTGATCTAATTGAAAAACCAGAGACCTAATCGACGTTAGAAAATTTTAAAACTATTCTCTTGTAATTAGGCAGTAATTTAACACAGGGAAAATTTAACATTGAGGAAAATAATTATCAAATAAATAGTTTTAAAAAGAATCATCTTCACACCAGCCCTAATAACCAAGATAACAAATGGAATCTTAAAAATAAACTCTTAGATAAGTATCTCAAATCTCTCCAACATTTCCAAATAACAAAGTTTTTAAAAATTGCCACTGTGTGTTTTTTAAAAATTTATTTGTTTATTTGAAAGAGAGAGTGAGCAAGGCAGAGACAGATCTTCTATCTGTTGGTTCACTCCCAAGATAACTGCAAAGGTCAGAGTTGGGCCAGACCAAAACCAGGAGTCAGGAGCGTCATTCAAGTCTCCCACGTGAGCAGCAGGGGCTCAAACACTTGGGCTATCTTCTGCTGTGTTTCCTAGGCCATTAGCAGAGAGCTGGATTGGAAGCAGAGCAGCCGAGACTTGAACCAGGATCCATATGGGATGCCAGCATCAAAGCCAGTGGCTTTATCCACTACAACACAATGCTGACCCTGTGTGTGGTTTTAATAGACAATTACTTCTATGAATATGGAAGGAAGATCAAATTTTGCAGTTAGGGGTAGGCAGGTGACCTGGTGGTTAAGACGCCCATGACCCACGTCTGGATTAAATATCTAGCTTTGGCTCCTAACTCTAGCTTCCTGCTAACATGGATCCTGGGAGTCAGCAGTGATGGCTCAAGTAATTAGGATCCTGCCACTCACACATCGGAAACCTGGGTTGAGTTTCTGGCCAGCTTCAGCCCCAGTTGGGGGTCTTTATAGGTATTTAAGAGGGGGGGGAGGCGACTTGGCAAATAGGAGTTCTTTCTCTGCCTCTTAAATTAAAAAATTGTGCAGTTATGCCAATCAAATGCTGACAGAGGGGTTTACTGTTTCTGTTGCAGGCAGTGAAATGCTAGCAGAGTCCTTGCACTGGGATTTCTTACATGGCACTAAGCTGATCGAACAGTGTAGACTTTGCAAATAGGGTTTTATTGTTTCTGTACGAATGATGTGACTGCCTGCACTGCTGAATTTTGGCTGAAGCCTATATATGATGTTGCCACCCACCTCCAACACATAACTTTTTAAGTTAAAACTCCAAATAATGAAAATGGCACCTGGCAGTGGCATATCCTCGGTTACTGTCTAGATAAAAACACAAAATTTAGAGGTAGCTGCAGATTTCTCATCATTTAATAAACTCAAAGAGATACTATAATTTGGCCACATCTCTGCCAACCCCATCTTCAGGTGACAACGTTCCTATTTATTTGGTTTGAGTTAGCACAGCAAAATATAAATAAATAACCATTCACATCCTCCATCTAATGGTGTCTGTCTAAATGAAAACGCAGTACAACTAAGCAGGAGAGAGATTTTCATTTTCAGTGCCTCGAGAAACCTAAAGAGGTATGTGAACAATTCCAGTTCTATTTTGTTAGTGCACACTGGCTGTTCTTCCTCAAAACGACTTACTTTTCTGTCAAAAACATCAAAAGAGCTCAGAAACCACATCGATTTAAAAATCCAAATGCACCATCACCTTTTAAGTGTCTTACAGAAACTTCTCCTAACACGGGACGTAACCCCCACAAAAATCAGCTTATTTTGTTCAGAACGCTTTCCTTCAAGCAGGCTGTCTTGGGCACTTAGGGACCAGTTACAGAATAAGGAGAACGGGAAGGTTCTGTGAAGAGAAAGGCTCTGTGGTTCAGGTGCACGGGGACGAGGAGTCGTCAGGAGTTGGTGCTCAGAAAGAAAGTGGAAGGAACTCTGGGGGGAGGTGACAGACAACCCTCTCCTTAGCTATCACCTAACTGACTTATCTTCATCTCCTACCACAAAATGCAGATAATTCACTTTCTGTTCGAAGCTGTTGGAAGGATGAAGACAAGGTCTACAGAAGTAACTGTGTACATATAATATGTCTGAAGAAATAGTTGTCAAAATGTTAACAGTACTTATCTTTGGCTGGCGGAGTTATGAGTACAGATGCATTTTCTGCTTTCTTTTTTAAATTAGTAACTATATAGTAACTGTGTGTGCTACACGTCAGCCCCGTAGCACAGTGATGGCTCAAACAATGCAGCTGCCCTCGGGATTCACACAGACGGGAAATGGCAAGCTATGGCCTGCTCTTTCTTCTTATTTCAGGTTAGACGAATGAGAGCTTCTCTGGAGGAAAAGCCACGGAAACAAAGCTGATTCCACCACACTAAGTGCACAGCGGACTTCCTCCTGGGCCAACTGAGAGGTCATGGTTTAGGCATGGGGCTTCCTGTGTTTGTGACTTTGTGTTGGAGAGGGCTGCCCAGCCACGGGCAAGCTCAGAGCTGTCGGCACTCAGGAAGGCAAATCGGAATGAACTTTGTCGGCCTTCCTAGCTAATGCGGATTGTGAGGTTGCCTTGAAGGATACACACCTCCCAACAGAATGTCCAGATTCAACAAACCTACTAGGATTTGGAGTCTATGTGTGTGAGTGACTACATGGGATAGGAGCCTAACTCAGCTTTTGTGGTTCTAATGTGCAAACATATTTTACTTTTGAAGTATCTTAACTAATAGTTTACCACAGGTTTCAAGACTTGAAAACAAAGATCTTGGAAATACCATCACAAATGTTTAACCAAAGTTATTACTACAATTGCAAGGTATCACAGATAAATGCGTTTGTATTTACTCTAGAAGAAACTTGTACCTCGTCAAGAATGTTTTGAATTCAGCTAAGTGTAGTAACAAAATGTTGTTACCTAAAGTTGAGGGTCTGTAATCCTTTGATTGCAACTACAGAGTCATGTAACCCCCTGGAGAAAAAGATACTGAAGTTTAATGCTCATAAATAAGTAATTTAGGGGTCTGAATTTTGAGCAGGATGAGCTGTGTTGCTGTCTTGTTTAGAGCTTCTAGACTGCTAGTAATATGTTTCCATTCTCTATCTTCTATTTATGCTTGATATACAATCTGATGCTTGGGAACATTTTCAAAGCTTTAGTAGTTTTAAATTTCTTGTATCTCATAACCAAACTTTCATCTAGATTCACTCCCTAGGGACAAAAAACATTCTATCCAGGTCCAAGCACAATGGTAAAAATGAGCTATGTAACAGTCTTTTTTGCCACCATATTAGACTTTGCATATTACTTGAAAATTACGTATCTTCCAAAAGAGAATGGCACCTTCATTGTTTTATCCTCACCCCCGCCCAGCCCCTAAAGAACAGATGTTAGCTAAACATCTAGAGTTTTATACATTGCAAAAAATGAGGCACAGGAGCTAAAATTCTAATTAAGTCTAAAAAAGAATGTGCAGATAATTTGATGTCAGCTTATATAACACTTTCATATTCGGGAGTTGACTGAATACAGTTTTGTGTGAGCAATAAAGTTAAAAAAATAAAGCCATTTATCAAAGAGACTGAGAACGAGAGGTGGGATGGGAGGAAACGCAGAAGCTGGGAACGCGAGAGTCCGGGGCGACTCTCGGCTTCCCCTGACGGCTTTTAGAAAACGGAATCGCTTCTCCACTCGGGGTAGCCTGAGGAGGGCCATGGCTGCGTGCATGTGTGAGAGCAGATCACGGTTAGCACCCGCGAGCACGTGTGTCTGTAGCCTGTACGGACTACGTAATACTAAACTATCTCTGTCTCCTTATTTGTAAAAAGAAAAATATATTAGATATTTGCATCTGTAGAAAGTGAATGAACACTGCGGGCAGTGGAGCGGGAAGGAGGCAGGGTGCTGTCCCCGTCGCCTTGGGCAGTCACCGAGGCGGCGGTCAGGCGGTGTCCGAGGACGAGTCATAGGAAGCGGACACGACGAAGTTGCCGCCGCCGCCGCCGGAGCGCCCGGCCACCGACTGGGCGGCCTGCTGGCTCAGGTTGTTGCAGATGAGCACCAGCTGGTTGCTCTGGGCCTCGGACAAGGTGCTGCAGCTCTGGTACACGCTGAAGTTGGTCTTGCGGCCGGGGATGTTGCCCTTCTCACACATGGTCTTCACCATCTTGGCCAGCTTGTTCTTGCCCAGGGCCTGGCAGTTGTACCAGTGCAGGGCCGCCAGGTTCACGACCGGCTTGATGGACAGGTAGAAAGGGGCGTCCTCGTAGCGCATGGCCGGCGGCCGCCGCTGCGCATACTCCTTGTAGTCCTGCACGGGGCAGGTCTGCGGGGCGTGCTGCGTGGCGTACACGCGCGAGTCCGTGCCGCCTCTCTTGGTTTTGGCGTTCAGGTCCCCGCTGTCTTGGCCCATCCACTCCAGGTACTCGAGCCCCGTCTCCGTGACGCGGAGGCGGATATCGCCCCACTTCAGGGTGGAGCCGTGGAAGCCCGTGCAGTGGCCGAAGGCCTTGGTGTTGTTGAGCCAGACGAGGTTGAGCAGCCCCTCGGGATTGTAGCGGCTCAGCAGCCCCCGCTTGCGCAGGATGAGCTCGTCGGCGAAGGTGAGCTTCATGGACTTGTGCGGCTTGTTGCCTTTCCCTTTGCAGCGGAGCTCGATCTGCTTCTGCTTCAGGGCCTCCTGCGAGCGCTTGAACTCCTTGTCCCGGGTGATGCTGTAGCCGTACCTGTGTTCTTTCAGGTACCGCTCGAGCCCGCACTGGTAATTGGCCAGGCTGTTGGGCTCGTACTCGGACCCGTCCTTCTGCCGGGCATCCACAAAGAAGGAGGCGAGGTAGGCGTCCAGCTCCTTGCAGGGGATGACATAGATCTCTCTGGTCTCCGAAGGGTACTTGGCGATGAGGAACTCGCGGAAATTGCGGAGCGCGGTCTGCGTGCTCCGGATCGTTTTCTCGTTCTGCTCCCTGCTGAGCTCGGCCGCTCTTTCATCCTGGTCTGCAACAAATCGGGGAGGGGAGGGACAGAGAGGGTGTGGATGAGTTCAGACAATGCACTTGCTACTCTGAAACAAAGTTTCCTTCTACCAGGAAAAGGGAAAGGAGGAAATCCGGTTTGGTCTTGTTTTAAGAGGCCACTGGCAGGTGGCACTGACATACCTGTCGCACTGTGACAGCCAACCTGAGTTTCACAAAGGATGTGCTAGACAAGGGTGTGGCCCATGGCGATCGAAATGAGCTTCTCCTGACACTGACACTGGCTCTGGCTCTGGCACGCGGGTTGGTGTGTGAGGGTTTGTGGGCGGGGTAAGATCAGAGGCGGCCTTCGAGTTAGGATAAAGGTGGACAGACACATGCCGTGTGCAGGGGCCCGCTGAGGCTGCAAAACTTGTTTTGAATCACGTCATTTGTGTGAAATCAGAACTCCAACTGGTTCCATTTTACTGAGTTAAACTAAAATATCTGTACCGGTATCAGCTGCCTTAACACATCACTGGACACTGGAGCTTGAAAACACAAAGAAAACGGCAGCTTCCTGATCTCAGGGCAGCTACTCAGGGCAACCTAGTTTACAAGTGATCTGCAGCTAAGGGTGGGGCCGTTCCTGATCACTTTGGTGCTTTGTTTGGCAACAAGGGTAAGACTTCATAGCTGCAAAGATAGGACAATGAAGTATGACATAAGCTATCATGGCCAGATGTGAGGGAGTGGGGAACATCTCCTGGCTACGCTTTATTAATTTATTTAAACTCTGCCACCAAGGGCCTGGGGTGCCCTTTCTTTCATGGATTGTCCAAGATTAAGAAAGGCTGCTCTAGGGGCTAGTACTGTGGCATAGCGGGTAAAGCCGCTGCCTGCAGTGCCCACATCCCAAATGGGCGCCAGTTCGAGCCCTGGCTGCCTCTTCTGATCCAGCTCTCTGCTATGGCCTGGGATAGCAGTAGAAGACAGCCCAAGTCCTTGGGCCCCTGCAACCATGTGGGAGACCAGGAAGACACTCCTGGCTCCTGGCTTTGGATGAGCCCAGCCATCTGGGAAGTGAACCAGCGGATGGAAGACCTCTCTCTCTCTCTCTCTCTCTCTCTGCCTCTCCTTCTCTCTGTGTGTAACTCTGCCTTTCAAATATATAAATACATCTTAAAAAAAAAAAAAAAAGGCTGCTCTAGAGGAGTGGTCCTCACACTTTACTGTGCTTCTGAATCACCCAGGAGGCCTGACCAAAGTGCACATGACCAGGTGGCAGCCCCATGTCTGCATAGCCACCACGCTCATGGTGACGCTGAGCAGAACACATTTTGGGCAATAGAGTTGAAGTACCTGCGTCCTACTCTATTTTACCCAGTTTTTTTTTAAAACAATGGTTAAGTTCAATAATATTCAAATACTTATTCATTTTGGTAATGTGCAATTTACATGTGGGAATCTTAACACTAATTGCAAAAACATTTGGTCAAAAGTCACCCCTATGATGACAGGCATGGTCTGGATGAAACCCTAAGGATGAAAGTACACAATGGAAACAGGCTCTCCTACTGACTGCTGAGAGGCAGCACAGGGGCTAACTGAAAACAATATAAATATGTGATTCTTAGTTTAACGGATACGCTGAAAGCTTTTGTTTATCAAATTATGTTATATAAGAAAACTTTCATTTGGAAGGTTTCTCCGTAGAAGTTTCTATATCACCACATCTAATAATAAAGATAAAATTTCTAATAAACAGCTTTAATGACAAAACATAATTTTTTTGTATTTTGTAATAATCATGTTATTTTAAAACAACAATTCTAAGGTATAACTGCCAGAACACATATAACTTTAGAAAATGAAGTTAACGAAATTTCACTAAACTAGCTAATTACATATATTTTTATAGGCACATCTTTGAAAGATATTCCCAAAACTCACATATAAAAACATATTTATGCTTCAACAAACTTAACTTTTGGTTCTTCTAGCTGAATCTGTTTATCTATCAACAATAAAAATGCTTATCTTTCTATCAAAAACACAGAAGCCACAGGTTGCATGTAACCTTCTACCAGCTGGCTTCCTCAACTGTTTACATGTGAAGCAAAAGGACCCGGCACATCTGTTTATTCTGGCTACTTGTTCAAGTATCTACTGCAGTGGTCTTCAAACTTCAAAGACTTCCTAAGGAATAAACACTGACAGACAAGTTTCAGGAAGACAATTTCCAGTTGCTCATCTTCCAGATGGGATCTTTCCTAAAAGCTGATGTCTGAAATGAAGACTCAGTTCACACACACCGCCATCCCAAAGCTACAAACGTACATGCTCTGGGGGTAAAACACTCTGAGGAGCCAAACAAAAATTCATGAATCAATGATTAAATCAATATCATTTCCTGTCCTTCTCTGTCTTATATAGATTCTAATACAGATGAAATCTGCCATTAGAAATAGGGTTTTGGTTTTGGTGCAGGGAAGAGAGGGATACCATTGTGGTGTAGCATGTTAAGCCTCCTCTGCTTACAAAGCCAGTGTCCTTTATAGGCACAGGTCGAGTCCTGGCTGTTCCACTTCTGACCCAGACCCCTGCTATAGGCCTGGGAGAGGCAGCGGAGGATGGCCCAAATCCCTGGGCCCCTGCACTCATCTGAGAGGCCCAGTTGAAACTCCTAGCTCCTGGCTTCTGCCTGGCTCAGCCCTGGCCGTTGTGGCCATTTGGGGAGTCAATCAGTAGATGGAAGATCTCTCCCTTTCTCTGTAACTCTTTCAAATAAATAAATAAATCCTTTTTAAAAACTATAAAAATAAATATGGTTTGGGGGCTGGCATGGTGGGGTAGCAGGTAAAGCCGCTGCCTGTAGTGCCAGTATCCCATATGGGCGCTAATTCAAGTCCTGGCTGCTCCACTTATGATCCAGCTCTCTGCTATGGCCTGAGAAAGCAGTAGAGGATGGCCCAAGTCGTTGGGTCCCTGCACCCAGAGGAAGCTCCTGGCTCTGGACTGGCTCAGCTCTGACTGTTGCGGCCAACTGGGGAGTGAACCAGCAGATGGAGGACCTCTCTCTCTCTCTTTCTCTTGTCTCTCCTTCTCTCTGTGTAACTCTGACTTTCAAGTAAATAAATAAATCTTAAAAAAAAAAAAAAAAAAACAAAGAAATATGATTTGGCACCTGAATTGTAGTGTTATGAATTCAGGGCACCTGAAGAGTTATAGGTGAAGGAAGTTGATTATTTTAATTAGACTGGGATTTTCTGCACAACTACCTCTAGATACACTAGAGGCTTATGGTTTTATTTATCTCAGACTTTGTGCTTTTAAAACTCACAAGGTGCTTAATAACTGCTATCAAATCACATCATGAAATACTCATGCAACTTACAGTCAATCATTATGCCATTCTGTAAAACAGCATTTTCTATCTCATTTGTTATAAAAATAACTGGTTGAAACTTGGGTTGAAAATCTGTAGTTACCAACTTAAAAAATGAGTGAGTGGTATATGTTTCCTCCGCCACAAAGTCCTTTGAAGGGGTTCGTAGGCAAAAAGGTTCAAATCAGTTGGACTTCAGTAAGCTGTTTAAGTCGGCTGAGGTGGAACTGGTGAAGATGGCTTCTACAGCCATCAAAGGGTTCGGAGTGCTGCCACGGATGTCATCACCTGACAGCTCCCTACTGAAACTGCCAGCTCCCCTATGTGTGCATGTCCTCCACATTTTCAAAGGGTAACCCACTCAGAGCTCCATGTATTCACACTTCTCCAACTCAGCCTCTGTCCAGCCTCCACTGCAAGTCTCTCTCCCCTTTCTAACGGGCCCTGATCTTAGTTAACAGAGCCACTTCATCTGCAGGAAAATAAAACTAAAGGAAAATATCACACTGTCATATCCTTTCCTAACAGCTCGGAATACACCAGAAGAGGAAATTAGATTGGCAAAGACACTCTGGTTCATTTTACCAGAATGAAGGGCAGCAAATAGTTGAGTAACAGCAATGTTTTTCAACTAATATCAAAATCAAGTAAGACCAGAGGAGACGATAATATAGAACTATTACAATAATCTTGGACTTATCTCTAGTTTTAGAAAATTTTTATATTCACTTCTTTTAAAAACATTTTATTAAACATAACATACATACAATAGGCTAGTCATTAAGTGCACATGATTGATTATTACAAATTAAAAACACCAATGAATCTAGTTCTCAAATCAAGAAAGAGACCAGCACCCCAGAGGTCTTTCTCACGCCCTCTCCTTCCAGTCATGCACTCCCATCAAGAAAAACTGTTCTCCTGACTTGAGGCATCATTGGTGTGGTTGGCCTATAATGTAAAACACGTGGCTGGAACCTGAGAGGGTGAACTCTTTGGTCTCTGGCTGCTTTTGCTCAACATTATGCTGTGAGCTTCATCCATGCTGTCGTATATTTGTAGGTCATTTATCCTCATTGCTGTGAACATTGCATTGCGTGAGCACATTTTTCCATCCTGTCAGTTCTTAGCTTAGTGCTACTTCCAATGAGACCTCTAGGAACATTCTAGTGTCTTTTTTGTTGATCACATGCATTCATTCCTGCTGGGTGTACAGTTAGAAGGTGGAATTGCTGGGGCATAAGAAATCATATGGTAAGCCTCACAGATACTGACAACCAATCTTCCACAGCGGTTATGCCAACTGCCTTTCCCCACCATGAGTGGCAAGAGTTCAGGTGGTTCCATATATCCAGCAACACTAAATGATGTCAGCTATGCTTATTTTAGACATTTGGGTGGGTGTGTAGTGGTCCTGTAATTTAATTTTAGCTTCTCTGAGTGCTTCTTTGTGTTTATTGACCATTTGGATATTCTTTTGTGAAGTGCCTATTCAAATTTTTCATCCATTTTTATATTAAATCATCTACTTCTTTCTTACTGGTTGTAGAAGGCTTTAACATATGCACATGAGTCTTTGTCAGACATGTGTATTTCAATACTCTTCTCCCCATCTGTGGCTTCCCTTTTCACTTTCTTAGTGGTGTCTTTCAATG